CCTAGCAAAGGGGGCTTGTGGAGCAGGGGGGCGCGTCTAGCGCCACTGATAATGTTTCAACTTGCTTGGCGAGGGAGCCTGCCCAGGAGATGGGGGCTTCTGGAGCAAAGGGGAGCGTCTAGCACCACTGGGATTGTTTCATTCGCCTGGCGAGGGAGCCTGCCCAGCAGAGGAGGCCTGTCTAGCAGAGGGCGCAGGTCCAGCACAGGAGCGCGCCCAGCACCACGGAGATCTGCTTTCAATCAGTTTGGGGGGGGAGCCTGCCTGGCAGGGAAGGGCCTGTCTGGCAGAGGCCGCAGGTCCAGCACAGGGCCGCGGAAAGCACAAGAGAGCCTGAAACACCGATCCTTCTCCACCTCCTCCTCTCCTTCTCCTTCTCCTCCTCCTCCTCCTGCTCCTCCTCCACCTCCTCCTCCTCCTACTCCTCCACCTCCTCCTCTTCCTCCTACTCCTCCACCTCCTCCTCCTCCTGAGGACAAGCACTATCGGAATCCTTTGACGCACCCTGAGAACCCAAACAATCTCAGACATTGGCTCGCCGCAAGAAAGCATGACGACGGCAACGGCGACGGCGACGGTGACGGCGACGGCCAGGATGACCACGACGACAACGACGACGACGACGATGACGACGACCACCCACACGACCGTGGCGGCGGCAGCGGCGCTGGCAACGGCTGCGCCAGTGGCGCCCGTTGGAGACGGAGGCTGCGGAGTATTGGGTGCTGTGTTGGAGACGGAAGCTCTTGACGAGGAGGGTGTCTTTTACTTTCACTTGGGATGGGGGCCGTGGAGTATTGGGCAATGCTTTGGAGAGGGAGGCTGTGGAGTCTTGGGTGCTGCCTAGCAGAGGGTGCGGCACAGCATATCGGGCACGTCTAGCACCAAGAATGTGTGTGATAAATTTGGGAAAAGGGGCCTTGCCCAGCAGATGGTGATGCACGGCAGCTGGGGCACGTCTAGGACCAAGGATTAGTGCTTAATCATCTTGGGGAGGGGCCTTGCCCAGCAGGGGGCG